GAGACCTGAACAAACACTGTGGCATGCGCCCAGGGGAAAGTATGAAGAGGGCACGGGGGGGTCCACCCACAGGTCAAAAGGCTTCCTGTGCAAAATGGCCACCCCCGCGCTCGGGATTTTTCCCCCCTGGAGACACGGCGCCCAAAAATAAGCCCACCCCCGCTTGAGGAGGGCGGCCTTCACTTCAAAAACACGATTCAACGCTAGCTTATGTTCCTGGACTAGTACAATAGACGCATTGCAAGTCTTTACGAACTCAGACGTGGCATTCCAGCAGGACCCCTCGACCGTGCAGATCTTGAGCCCCCGCTGGGCGGCTCTAACACCGTGAGCCTCGCTGGTGGGCCCCGCGTCCCCAGACGCAGGCCCAGAAGTGAAACGTTCGATAAAAGAGGCCCAGGAGGGGGCGGTCAGGGCTTCTCCGAAGCCCGTGCTCTCACGGCCGCCTCGCGCTTCTCGCGCGAACGGCTCCGCCGCGGCGACCGCCCCCCTGGCAGATCAGAAGCGCCTGCCTCGCGGGCCCCAGCGCCGCCTGCTCTGCCTCCTTGGTCTGCTGCTGGTTGTGGCGCACTCGCTGCCACTCCGCTGCCGTTCAGCTTCATGTTCGCGGGGCCATCTGCTGCTGCCGCTGGCATCTCTGGCTGTGCCAACGGGGCCGCTAGCCCTGGGGCTTGGGCAGGTGGTGCTGGTCCTGGATCTCCTGCTGGTTGCACTTCGACTGGGGCTGCCTCGTTCGCCGACAGCGCCGCCGCCAACGCCTGGAAAGCCGTCGCTAAGTGCTGGTCGTCCGCCGTCGCCATGCCCATTGACTCCAGCGCCGTCTTCATGGCGCAGAAACTGGCCGCGGCCGCCTGGGGCGCTGGGGTGGGCTGCTGGTGCTGTCGGATTAGTTCGTCCTGCTCAACCTGGAGGGTCTGAACCTCAGCACGTGCCGTGGTCAATAACGCCCCCTCATTGGATATCTTTTCTTCAATCTCAGAAGCCCTCGTGCGTGCTGCTTCTAGTTGCTCTCGGAGTGGTGCAACACCCTTTTGTTTTACCTCGATGCTCTTCATCTTGCCTTTCAAGCGTTGCGTGTTCGCCGGGGTCAGCTGTGTCGGGGTCTTCTGCGCGTCCCGCTTGGCCCGCGCCTCATTCAACACGCCGTTGGGGGGGTCGAGGAGCTGCTTCTGGGCTTCAGCTGGGAGGTCGAAACGCCCGACCTGATCAACTGTTTGCTGTAGCGTCTGAATCGCGGGGCCTAGCGGGGGTCCAGCTGCAGCGCCCTCCTGCTTCATTGGCGAGCGGCCCTTGCTTCCCGCTGCCTTGTCGCCTGCCGCCCAGGGCGGCTTCGACTCCTCTGACTGTCCGCATGTGCTCGCTGGGGTAGCCTGCCAATGGCCACCGCACTGCCAGCACCACTCGAGGTTCAGAGAGACCTGTGCCTTGCACGATTTACAACTCCAAACGTGGGCCGCGGGAGGCTTCTGCTTCTCGTGGCCCTTCCCTTTCTTGCTGCTCTTGTCCTTGCCGCCCTTCCCCATGTTGCCGCTGCTGTGGTGAACCTTGAGGAGAGCTCTGGCGCCGGACAGACGCAGGAGGACTCTGGCTAGTCCTCGCTCCGCTCTGAGCCGTCGGTGCCAAGCTGGTTCCCTGTCTGGCCGATGACGTGCTCGCACAGTACGGGCGCGGTCGCTGTGGCGCGCTATGGCGCCCCGCGACGCGCGTGAGCCCTGGCCGCGCGCGGATCGGCCCTGATCAGTCGCCTGGATCAGGTCGGGCGGCAGGCGCCGATCTGACCCCGATCGCGATTCGAGGATGGGCGCCGACCGCTGCGGCCAAAGGGCTTCCTCCTCCTCAGAAGAAGAGGGGTCCTCCCCCCTCTTCTTCTTCCTCCTCTTCCTCCTCCACCTCCTTCCCCCCTCCAACTTATGGTGGTGGCCGTGGAAAGCAAACCCATCACGACCCGCCCCTCAACGTTGCCCCTGACGGTCCATGGCTCGGCTCTCCAGCGGCCGTTTGGGACGAGCCGGCCAGTCCAGGACGCCCTCGGCGAAGCGCAGCCGCTGGAAGGCCCCCCGAGGCTGCAGCATGCCCGAGCGAACAAAAACGTTCGAACACCTCGAGCCTCGAACCCGAAGCTCCAGGCGCGAAGAGGGCCCAGGTCCAAGTTGGTTAGCATGAGGGCCCATGTCCAATACGGCGGCGAGACGGAAGGGAAGTCAGAAGGGGCGGGCCTTCTGAGAGGGCTCGGAAGTCCTCCGGCCTTGTGAAAGGGTTGTTCAGCCTCCCCCGCAATCACAGAACACGTCTCAGAAGGCGACAAGGCTTCTGAGAAGCCCCGACGCCCTTCTGAGAAGGCCTCCTCCTTCTTGCTCCGTCCCCCCTCGCCATCGCTCGGACGCCCATTCTCCGTGCATGCTTCGGTTTCGTGCGTGCATTTTCTCCGGCAGATGACCCGAGACGCTCCTCAGTGATCCCCGCCGAGAAGAAATGCACACGTCCATGCGATGCCAGGCCCCTCTCTCGCTGCCTCGGGCGCTCGCCAGAACGGATGAGGGATCCATGGGTCCGGCGCGAGGGCGCCCGATCCACGGATCGGGGGCCGCCGCCCCTGAAATATGGCGCCAGTGCCGCCTGCTTTGGCGGCGGAGCTCGCCGACGCCGTGTGGAAACGGGGCCCGTCGCTGATCCACGCGCCTCCCTGCTCCTCCTGGGTCCTCCCGAGGGAAGCGGTGGACGGGAATGCCTTGGCGGCGCGAGGCACGGGCCACCATGCAGAGAACAGGTCCTCCCCTTCCTCCTCCTCCTCTTCCTCCTCCTCTTCCTCTTCTTCTCTTTCTTATTCTTCTTCTTCTTAGTATTACTACTACAAAACATATGATCATTACTGTTAATATTAGTAATATTATTATTACTATTATTATTATTATTAGTAGTAGTAGTATTAGTATCATTATTATTATTGTTATTATTATTAGTCCTCCTCCTCCTCCTCCTCATCCACCTCCCCCTCCCCCTCCCCCTCCCCTCCTCCCTCCTCCCTCCCCTTCTCCTCCCTCCTCCTCCTCCCCCTCCTCCCTCCTCCTCTCCTCCTCCTCGTCCTCCTCCTCGTCCTCCTCCTCGTCCTCCTCCTCCTCCTCCTCCTCCTCCTCCCCCTCGCCCTCGCCCTCCCCCTCCCCCTTTTCCAAAATGCTGCTCTCGCTGAAGCGCCGGCCTCATTTTCGGGCCCCGCTCGTTCCGAATCGTGCTCCCGCTGCAGCGCTGGCATCATTTTCGGATCGGTGTGTTGCCTCCGTCGTTCAGGAAGGCGTTCTCGCCCCAGCGCGGGCCTCTTCCTCGCGCGCCCATCCGCCCGCCACCACCGCACCGCGCCCCGCCCCGCCCCGCCCACCGCCACTTCCACCCACCAACGCACGCACGCACGCACGCACGCGCACCACCACCGCGCACCGCCACCACCACCCCACTACCCCACCTACCCCCGCCACGCTACACCGCGTCACACCACATCACACGCGCGCGCACACAGACACACACGCACGCACGCACGCACGCACGCACGCACGCACAGACACACAGACACACACACACACACACAGACACACACACACACACACATACATATACACACACACGCACACACACCACCACCACGGCCACCACCACCACCGCCGTCACGCACGAATGCACCTGGCCCACCACCAAACCACCAAGACGCCCTACCACGTCACACCACAACACACGCGCACACACGCACACACACAAACACACACACACCACCACCACCACCACCACCACCACCACCACCACCACCGCCGCCGCCACCACCACCACCACCACCACCACCACCACCACCACCACCACCACTACAACCACAACCACAAACACGCACACACGCACGCACGCACGCGCACCACCACCCACTACGCACGCGCACGCGGAGCCACAGGTCCGCTACGACACGCGTCCGCGGATAGAGAAAATGAGCTTCATGGTAAGGGATGGGAGGGAGGGGTAGGACGTCAGATATGACGCGAGCGCACATAGCTGCCCCTTCCCCCTCCCCCTCCCCTTCCCCTCCTCCTCCCCCTCCCCCTTCCCCTCCCCCTCCCCCCCCCACCCCTCTCCCCCTCCCCCCCCCTCCCCTCCCCCTCCCCCTCCCCCTCCTCCTCCTCCTCATCCCTCCTCCTCCTCCTCCACAATTACTCAATATGAACTACTCTCCTCTCCCTCTTCCCCTGATGACGGCTCGACAGTATTAGCCCCCCCCCCGCGAACTGTTTTTTACACACAAGATTCCCCGGAGTTGGGTTTTCGCCTGCATTTTTTCCCAAATGCTGCTCTCGCTGAGGCGCCGGCCTCATTTTCGGGCCCCGCTCGTTCCGAATCGTGCTTCCGCTGCAGCGCTGGCCTCATTTCCGTGCTTCCGCTCGTTCCGAATCGTGCTACCGCTGCAGCTCTGGCCTCATTTCCGCGCTTCCGCTCGTTCCGACTCGTGCTCCCGCTGCAGCGCTGGCGTCATTTCCCGTGCCATGCCACGGCATGCAATGCAATGCTAGGTTGATACTACGCTTTGCGGTGCTCTTCTACGCCATGCCATGCCGTGCTCTACAATGCATCGCGTACCCTTTCGGGATCATTGCCCTGCTCGACATCCGACTGTGCGAGTAGAGAGGGGATCTACGCCATGGTAAGGGATGGGAGGGAGGGGTAGGATGTCAGATATGACGCGAGCGCACCTAGCTTGTCCCCCCCTCCCCCTCCCCCTCCCCCTCCTCCTCCTCCTCCTCCTCCTCCTCCTCCTCCTCCTCCTCCTCCTCCTCCTCCTCCTCCTCCTCCTCCTCCTCCTCCTCCCTCGCCCGCTGCCGACGAGAACCTCGAGCCTCGAGGCCAAACCTCACCGCACGCGCTGCGGCTCCCCCTGGCGGTGGCTCGCCCCACGTCGGGCGGCAGCGGCGCCGCTCGGAGCGCAGCCTCGGAGCGCAGCCTCGGCCACCTGCGGGCCGAACGTGCACCCCTCACGGCGACGCCGCGGCCGCGGCGAGCGCCAGCACCCCCAGGCCGAGGCTCGCGCCGGCCTGGAGGGAAAGGCTTCGCGGCGAGCGAGGGGGGGGGGAAGCGAGCGAAGGGCGGGCCTTCTCAGAAGGCCCGGGAAGCCCCCCCGGCCTTCTCTGAAGACTTCTGCGGCTTTCCCGAAGACGCAGAAACCCTCTCGCGTCCCCCCCTCGCTCGCCGCCGAAAGGAAGCGGTGACCACGACGAGTTGACCGAAAAGTCGGCTGCGCCGTCTGGCTCGCTCCGGTGCGCCCGCGGGGCTTCCGCCTGCGGTGGCGAGCCCTCGTGTGGCGGCCGCAGGCTCGGGCTCAGACTGCGGTATCTCCAGATCTCCCGCGCACGTGTGCACGTGCGCGGGATCTCCAGGCTCGGGCTCAGACTGCGGGATCTCGCGCACGTGCGCAAGCTCGACGGTGGGTCTATCGGCGGACCATAACCAACATCGAACTCACCCATCGGTCGGAAGAAGTAGGTAGGAGCATTAAGTTATTAGGACGTCGTTGAAAGTAGATTGGGTGTCAGCCCGCCCCTAAAAAGGACGGAAAAGGTGAAGCCACTCGATCATTAAAGTAGGAAGGCGCTTAAATTATATTGGAATCTGGGGAAGCTAAAATGCGCTGGCAGTCTTAGGGATGCGCCCTCAGAGACTGAGGGCACCCTACAGATCGGCATCGAGATGGGGCGATGCTAAGCATAGGGATAAGGATCTGTCCCGGGCCGGTAAGACCACGACGAAGACTGATCTCGGCGGCGAGCCCAGGGGGGGATGCAGCGGGAGCGGGCCTTCGCAGAAGCTTCGGCCCGCATCCTGCCTTCTGAGAGGTGTTCGAAGCCTTCTCTGACAACAGAGGCGGCTTCTCCGAAGGCCGAAGGGCTTCTGAGAGGTTCCGCCGCCTTCTGTGAAGGCCTGCCCCCTCTCATTTCCTTCCAGGCGCGCCGCCGATGAATGCATCGGCCTGGAATCGGCGACACATCGCCGATACGTCACCGATGGCGAATCTGCACGTCCCCGGGAAGGCTGGGCTATCGGGGCCCTGTCGGCGATAAGCGGAGCTGGTCCTCCCTGACGTTGCCCCCTGAAGTGTGGAGGGAACGAGGACGAGGACAATGACCAAAGCTGAGTGTGGAAACGCCTGTGTGGATCTTGGCCATCGCCAATCTTGGCAATCGTCAAGTCGTGGATCATCCTCGCGACTCAGCGGCGGCCGTGGTGAACCATGACTAAATCGGCGTCGACAAAACCCCGAAACATCTCGGGGCGCTCGAGGGGCGATCTCCTCCTCCTCCTCCTTCTCCTCCTGCTCCTCCTCCTCCTCCTCCTGCTCCTCCTGCTCCTCCTGCTCCTCCTGCTCCTCCTGCTCCTCCTGCTCCTCCTCCTCCTCCTCCTCCTCCTCCTCCCCCGCGACATCTTGGCCATGGCCATCGCATTTCTCCCCTCGGAGGCCAGCGTGCCGGAGGCGTCGGCGGGCTGGGTCGTCGGTGCGGACGTCGGCGGCGGCGCGGGCGTCGGTGGCGTCGGGGGCGGCGCGGGCGTCGGTGGCGACGGCGTCGGCGCCAGAGTCGGGGAAGGTGGCGACGGCGTCGACGCCGAACCCGTGCACGTGCCTGTGCTTGCACCCAAGCACGTGGTCTTAGTCCACTCACACTCCGAACACGAGCCGCACGAGATGTCGCTGTACTCGCAAGCCGCACTGTTTGTCGGAAGCCCCGACGCTACTGATAGGCCGTTAATGGTCGGCACAGAGGCCGCGTAGTCACTTGTGACCCCGGCCAAGGTGCCCGAGCTCGGGCAACTCGTGATGCTCGCATGGCACGTCTCGCCACTGGGGCAACAGCCTCGGAAGCACATCATCGTGTTGGGGAAGTATTCGGAGGTTGGGGATGAGCAGCCAGGAACGACACAACTGGTGCCATCGTTGTACTGGCCAAGCACATAATACCTGTATACGAACTCGTCGATGGAGCCGTCAGCACTATAGTCCGTCGCCGTGCCCCCTGGCACGTCGAGGCGTGGTAGGAGGCCAAGTGATGGCCGTGGTAGGGTTCCTGCAACGAGTCATCTGAGGGACCACCCTCCTCCTCACGCGTTGCTATGCGCATATCCCTCAGCTAAGGCTGGGGTTTGGGAAGGAAAGGCCTCTACAGTGGAGGCCAATCCACAAGAAACCTTCCACAGAAAAAAACCCAACACTGAGACTCCAGGACGTCCATTGATTTTTGGCGCGGAAGCGCTACGCTTTCCATAGCAAAAACCATCGTAACCCAAGAAACCCAGAACACCCTGAAGGCAAGCAGGGTGTTTCTTGGCATGAGTCTCCACTGTAGACGTCTTCTAAGCCTTCCCCGAAGACACAGGACACTTATCGGAAGGCCGCGGGGCTTCTGAGAAGCCCCGCCGCCTTCTGCCCCCTGGCCGGAATGTGGCCCAAATTCTCCACAACGCAGCATCGAATAGTACAGAATCGGTGCACCGCTTCTCTGCGAGAGGAACATAGGCTGGCAACGCCTATAAGCCTAACGGCTGTGGTCCCAAACTTCGCCGCTTGGTTCAAGAGTGGCAAACACGTGTCCAAGAGGTCGTTCAATGTGGTAGAAAACACGGCAACACAAACACACACCATATCGTCCAGAAGTGGCTCCAAAGCGGCACAAGACTCACCGAACAGTTCAAACGCAGGTCCAGTGGACAACACATTACCAATGCCTCGCAACCATGAGTCCGAGCGCAACTTAGACGCGCGATCACGCTTGCAGTCTTCGGGGCGAGCTTTAGTACCACAACCAAGGGCTCCCATCTTCGCGCTTCGCGCTGCGCGAAGCGCGAAGAACTTCGCGCTCTCGCTCCGCCTCCCAGGGGAGAAGAGGAGGATGACAAGGAATCGGAGCCAAAACCGCGAAGCGCGAATCACTTCGCGCCCTCGAGGGCGCCCTTGACGACTGTGGCCCGTTGGGGGCTGTTCCTGCCACTCCCCCGCATCCCTTCGGAGGCTCTCTGGGCGGCCCGGCGCCGCCCTCTGGGGCTCTCCGAGGCCCTCGAGCCTCCAGGACGGCCCAGGGATCCCAACCAGGGCCGCCAAGTTGGCCCAACTTTGCTGCAAGAGACACCAGCCAGCCCCTGCGAAGATGCGAGGCGGGGATTTATCCATATCCATCGCCTGGGTACCGACGTCCTAGTGCCGCAGCGTGCGGTGGATACGAATTATTTCGGCCCCCGGGGGCCCGAATATGTCCATACCCACCGCCTGCCGAGGCTCCGAAAACTGACCCTCTGGGCGGTGGCCATGAATAAATTCCCGCCTCGGAGAAGAGCCCAATACGTCCCAAGAGGCCTCCAACAGGCCAAGACCATCCCCCAGAACGTTCTCCAGAGGCCCTCGAGAGGCCAAACATATCGATGTCCCAGATGTTACTTTTACTGTGCCGAAGATCGGTCCACTTGCGGTCAAGGGCCCAACCAGTGCCCACTGAGAGCCCTAAGAAAGCTCCCAGTCGGCCCAGGACGGCCCCAGGAGAGCCCCAAACTGGCCTAAGAGGGCCTCTGGAGGGACCCAAGAAGGCTTCAAAGGAAATCCGTAGATGTCTGAAGAAGATCCCAAGGCAGCACCAAGAGACCCCCCATACGGCCAAGAAAACCCAAAGGCTCAATAGGGCTCAGCTCCGCCCAAGACGGCACCAAGGGACCACCAAGACTGCACCATCAGAGCCCAAGACAACCCCAAGATGTCGTGTTGCAGCTCCTCCTCATCCTCATCCTCATGTTCATCCTCATCCTCATCCTCGTCCTCCTTCTTTTCCTCCTCCTCCTCCTCATCATCGTCATCAGCATTATCATCCTCATCCTCATTCTCCTCCTCCTCCTCATCATCATCATCAATTCCCTCGTCTCCCTACTCCGCCTGAATCCTCTTCCGCCTCATCATCGCCCGCCACGTTCCTCCTGCTCCTCTTCTCTTTCCGCACCATCATGTAACTAATCATCCTACTCCGCCCCAAGACGGCCTCACATCGATCCAAAATGGTCCAACGACGACCGACAAATCACATGAAAAGGTTTGCTGTGAAATGCGTCAGACGTCGCCCTCGTGGGGTGAGCGCCTGTGGATGTCTCGAAACCTCCCGAGGATATGTGCGTGTATATATATATATACACATACCCATACCCAGGAGGGGGAGGAGGAGGAGGAGGAGGAGGAGGAGGAGGAGGAGGAGGAGGAGGAGGAGGAGGTGGAGGAGGAGGAGAAGGAGGAGTAGGAGGAGGGGGAAGATGGAGGGAAGAGGGGGCCGTCGGCAGTCTGCGAGCAACGCAGGAAATTGCAAAAGAAACCCGCGGCGGGCACCAATTTCCTACAAATTACGCCACGAGCCAGCCGCAGGCGAAGAACTTTCGTCAGAGCCATGTGGGTGGGCCGCGGGTGGGCCGCGGGTGGGTCGCGGGCGGAACGCGGGTGGGTAGCGGGCGGGTCGGGAGGGTCGCGCGTGGGCCGCGGGCGGGCAGCGGGCGAGGACGACGACAACAGCATGGACGACCCCGGACCTTTGTGGCCCCTCACGCCGTCCAGTGGGCCACCGCGGCCCGTGGCTGCCCTGAAAGACCACTGCGGCCCTGGGCCCTCCCCTAAAAGAACCCGGGGCGGACTCTCCACACTCTGGCACCGCCTCCGGCGGCGCTCCTGGGGCGCTCTGCGCTCCAGTGCTGGGGTGCGGAGGCCACCCCGGGCCACTCCGGGGGGGCCTGTGGAGGCCAGCTGGGACTTCCTGGGAGGCACAACGCAGCCAAGACGAGGACAACATCGGGAGAGGATGAATCGAGCATTTCTGAGATCCGGCGGTTCTGGAGGATGTCTCAGGCGCCGCGGCCTTCTCGGGGCGTTCTGGAACGCGCCGAGAACCTTCCGGAACGCTTCGGAACGGAGTTGTCCTCGATCCTCGTCCTGGCCCCGTCCGAGGAAGGCCGTCGGTGTGCAACCCAAAACCTTTCTCGGCGGGACTTGCCGCAGGCAACCGGATATCCGCCACAGTCGTCCGTGCAGACGTCCGTCCCGTACGTCCCTCCCGTCTCCGTGCAGGTCTGCATCATGATGCCGGAGGGGCCGCGGGGGCCATACAGCGGGAAGCCATCGAATGCCCAGCCTGCGGGCAAGGTTCGTACACAGATCCGCTGCGCCTCGTATTTGCGGGCCCCCGTCCCTAGAAGCCCCAGTTGCGATGGACATGGACAAGAATCTGGTCTCTAGCGAGACCAACATTTCGTCCACATCCACTGCGGTCCGGACTGTTGGCGCCCCTTCCCCACAGAATCCAAGACGTCGCGGATATGGATATGAATCTTGCCCGCGCAACCGATCTGGGGAGAGTGTTCCGAAGACGTCTGGCCCAATTGGTTCAGCAAGCAGCTGGGCGGCACGTGGCAGTGGTACGATGCCTCAGTGGTGCTGGATCCATGACACCCGCACGAATCGAATGAATTGCCCTCCGCGTACGTGGCCGAAGTTGTCCAACCTAGGACGATACCGTAGTTCGGGCCACCGTAGGGAGTGAATAGCATGGCCGCGTTGAAGAACACGCCGACTTGAGCACCCGTTTCGGAGAGATCGATATGCCCTGAGGAGGTTGAAGAATCGGTGGCTGCCCCCACAAAAGTAGGGATCGCTGGAATCTCGTAAGTTGTCGAAGATTTCACTGCCGTGTTCGGGTTCAGGTCGTAGAAAGGGTGGTTTGGACAATGGTTCGTCACCACTGTGCGCGTGGAACCGGAAACGGATTCCGCGTAGGAGTAGTCGGAACCATCGTTGGCACAATCGGCCGCCTCTCCGCACCAAGCCAATCCCGCCACAATCGACGCAAGAATCACTACCGCCGCCATGACGTAGCTGCGGTGTTCTCGTGGGTCTGGCAAACCTTGCGACACCTTGAAGCGTGAGCACAACTTGCTTGATACCAAACGGCCTGCCCTCTGCTCTCCAATGGCGATGGGGGACGGAGCCTTGTTGGGGCCTCTCGGCGCCATGTTGCAGGGTAGCTGTGCGAACTTTGGCCATGTTGCGTCATCGTGACGGCGACTTGGGGCAATACCAGATGGTGCCCGACTGAAACCATGTTGTTCCATCTTGGGCGATCTCACCCTTCGCGGCCTCCCAACGTCCAGACACAGGGGACGGGGAATGGTGATCTACCCGAAATAGAAAATGCTGCTGTAAGGAAGTGCCCAGGCTCTAAAGCACCCACGCCCAGAGAGCACTTCGGACTATCGCACTGGATTCTGGCCTCGTTTTCCCTCGTACTGCGTCCGTCTTCGTCGCCCTCGGTCTTCCTCCTCCTCCCCGCATCCTGTACACTGCCATCGGCCACTCCTGGGCGCGCATGTCGAGCCTCATCGCACCCCCGATGGCTCCGTGCGCGGGGCGTTCATCTGCGCACGCCCGTTTTTTTCCTGGGTGTGGGTTTGGAAGGCTGCGGAAGAGGTGCGCGAAACCCGTGCCGCGTCGTATGCGTGACCCAAATATCCCACCAGCCCTTTGTAGAGACAAGAAAATCCATCCCCATAATAAGCACCCCGACAAGCGAAGCCGTTTAGTAAACGCATCCAAGGAAAGAACCGAACAAGGCAGGGCCGTTTAGTAAACGCCCAGGACCGTTTAGTAAACGCCAATTGTCGGGGTCGGGGTGATGTTCCCTCCCCTGACTTTGGCCGTGGGTGGTCTGACGAATTCAATTCTTCCAACCTCCTTTCTTCCCCGTCGGGGATGGGTCTATAACTGCCCCCCATCCATAACCATCCTCTGCCCCATCCGACCAGCAGCCAACCCAGACCCATGCCATCTCCCCCCCCACTATCCATGTCAAACATGCTTCAAACTACAATTTGCCTCCACATCAAGCACAGGCTCGGGTGCCCCGCGACCACTTTGCAATGGTTTTTGAAAAGGTCGGCGGGGGTGCCCGCATACTGTCTGCCGCGCGCTGGCCAAATACGGCTGCCAACAATTACATCAATATGAGACAGCACTGACCCCAAACAATGTGTTCCAACATACTATGTGGTGCAACCTGCGTGGTGCAACCACGTGGTGCAAGCTGAGCGGTGCAATCTATGTGGTGAAATCAATCACTTGCTCAACTTGAAACTGTCATCTCCATTGCTCGTGCAACCATCCCACCCTCCCACCCGCAACTTGGTCGCGTGACGGTGGGTACCAAAAAACACGTGGCAACAACACCGACGCCGACGCCGACGACGCCGCCGCCGCCGACGCCGACGACGACGATGACGCCGACGCCGACGACGTCGCCAACGAAGACGACGACGACGATGACAACGCCGCCGACGACGACAACGACGACGACGACGCCGACGACACCGCCGCCGACGACGACGACGAAGATGACGCCGACGCCGACGACGTCGCCAACGAAGACGACGACGACGAGGGAGCAGAGAGGACGACGACGGCGACAACGACGACAACGACGAGGGAGGACGGCGACGACGCGAACGACGAAGGAGGGAGGACAGCGACGCCGACGACGACAACGACGAGGGAGGAGGGAAGACGACGACGATGACGATGGCGACGAAATAGGAGGGACAACGACGAAACGCCGATCCGGCGTGTGAGTTTCTGAGAGCGTGGGCTTGAGCTCGCTCAAGCTTCGCTCTGCGGAGGGGGGGGGGACTTCATTTCCGACCTATTTCCGACCTATTGCTGACCTAATTCAGTGCTTCGCACCCCCCCCCTCCAGAGCGGACCCACCACCCTGCAGAGCGCCCTCCCCCTCCCCCTCCTGCAGCCCAGCCCCCCCTCCCCCCCTCTGCAGAGCGGATCACCCTCTGCAGCCCCCCCCCCCTCCCCCCTGCAGAGCAGACCCCCCCCCCCCCTCCCATGCACCCCCTCCCCTGCAGAGCAGGCCCCCCCCTGCAGAGCAGACCTCTCCCCTGCAGCCCCCCCCCCCCCCTGCAGAGCCCCCCCCCCCCCGCAGCCTTCCCTGCAGAGCCCCCCCCCCCCTGCAGAGCGGACCCCCCCGTGCAGCCCCCCCCCCTGCAGAGCGTACCCCCCCCCCCACCCCTGCACCCCCCCCTCCCCTGCAGAGCAGACCCCCCATCCTGCAGCCCCCCCCCCCCCCTGCAGAGCGGACCCCCCGTCTCCCCTGCAGCCCCTCCCTTGCCGAGCGGACCCCCCCTGCAGAGCAGACCCCCCCCCTGCAACCCAGCTCCCCCCCGTCGTCGTCGTCGTCGTCGTCGTCGTCGTCGTCGTCGTCGTCGTCGTCGTCGTCGTCGTCGTCGTCGTCGTCGTCGTCGTCGTCGTCGTCGTCGTCGTCGTCGTCGTCGTCGTCGTCGTCGTCGTCGTCGTCGTCGTCGTCGTCGTCGTCGTCGTCGTCGTCGTCGTCGTCGTCGTCGTCGTCGTCGTCGTCGTCGTCGTCGTCGTCGCGTCGCGTCGTCGTCGTCGTCGTCGTCGTCGTCGTCGTCGTCGTCGTCGTCGACGTCGTCGTCGTCGTCGTCGTCGTCGTTGCGTCGTCGTCGTTGCGTCGTCGTCGTCGTCGTCGTCGTCGTCGTCGTCGTCGTCGTCGTCGTGGTCGTGGTCGTGGTCGTGGTCGTCGTCGTCGTCGTCGTCGTCGTCGTCGCTCGCGTCATCGTCGTCGTCGTCGTCGCTCGCGTCGTCGTCGCCGCCGTCGCCGTCATCGTCGTCGTCGTCATGGTCGTTGTCGTCGTCGCTCTCGTCGTCGCCGTCGTCGACGTATTCGTTTTCGTCGTCGTTTTCGACTTCCTCGTCGTCTTTCATTTCCACAGGCACCCGGAGCGCCCCGGATCGGCGGCACTGGCCGGAGGCCACCACAACAGGAGGGACAACGACGAAACGCCGACGAAGACGACGAGGGAAGAAGGACGACCACGGCGACAACGACGACGGAAACGACGACGACGCCAGAACGCCGACGACGACGACGTCCGCCGACCAGCTCGGGCTCGCCGTCCAAAGGACGGGCCTTGCCGAGCCGCAGCAGGCACAAGACCAGGGTGGGGGGCGGAGGACTCCGCCGTGCATGCTGCCGCTGCTGTGCTAAACGCTACGCTGTTGTGCCGATGCGTGCCGTGAAAAGAGGTGGAGGAGGAGGAGGAGGAGGAGGAGCAGGCGGAGGAGGAGGAGGGGGAGGCCGCGACATCCAGACCGCGAGGGCCTGGACATGCACGAATTCGCCGCCCGAGCCCTGAGAGCGGTCGAGGGCGACGGGGCGCGCCCCGCCCTGCGGGACCTTCCGCGCACTCGCCAGCGACTTGCAGGTACCCGCGTCAGCGAGAATCGACCCTACAGTGGAGGCCAGCCCACAAGAGACCTTCCACGACAAACCCGACCCTGAGACCCCAGGACGTCCATCGACTCTTGGTGTTAGAACGTCGCGCTTCCCATGGCGAGACTCGTCGGCCCCTGCGCCGTCGCAGAGGGCGCGCCCCGTGGCACCAGCAACCCTGGGACGCCCAGGTGCCGCTCGTTCGCACAGATGGGCGCGGGCCGTGCAGCGGGGCGCTGAGGCCACGCTCGTCGCAGGGGGGGCTGGAGGGTTCCAAAAGGGGCTTTTGGGGGGGGGGGTCCAGAGAGCCCCCCAGGGGCCTCGGAACCCCATCAATACAGGGGGTGCGAAGCCCCTGGGGGACGCCTCCTGGAACACCCCCTCCCCCAAAACCCCCTTTGGAACCCTCCGGGGGTGGGGGGCTCCGCGCGAGGCGCATCGGGCCGTCGTCCAGGCCGCCGCGGCCTCGCGGTCGACACCGCGGCGCGGCGGTCCAGGGCGCTTCGATGCGCCGCGGCCCTTGCGCTTCTCGTGGCCAGGCCTGCTCAGCGATCTGGCCCCTGAGCGCCTCCGCGGCGACTGGGGAGGCGAGGATTACAGAGCTGGTGGATTTCGGTATGCCAGGACACCTGAATCCAACAGTTCAGTAACCCTCGCTTCCCCAGTGGCCATGGAGACGCTCAGGGGCCAGATCGCTGAACTGAAGGACCTCAGGGTGCGTAGGACCGACGTCAGAGACCGGGGGGTGGTTACAGTGGCGGCCGATACCCTGCGCAAGGACTTTGACAAAGGGACCTGCTTCGCCATGGCCTCAGTGCTCTGCATGAGCGCACGATCTTGCCCGCGGCAGCCACGCCGGAGAAGGCCTTCCTGGCTACAGTGAGGGGCAGCGATAAAGGGGGTCCTGGCCCACGGGGGACACATCGACCTGCAATCGGCGATAGGCCCCGATAGCGACCTCCCACGCTCCTGGACGACTTGTCGCGGTCCCAGCCCAACCCGGCCTCTCCCGCCTCCGCCCCCATCGGGTGGGTGTTGACGGGGGGTGACCTGATGGAGGGGGGGGGAGAAAGGGGTTCCTCGACGGGCCCCGTGGGGCCCCTCTTGGAGCCAGCAGGGGCCCCCAAGGGGCACCAAGAGGCCATTGTCAAGGTCCTTTTCGTCACCCCTTCATCAGGAGGAACAAGCGGCACTTGTGCCGTCCAGGACCCGGATAGCGGCGCTGTTCAAAGCCTGTGAAACGCCTGTGGGAGACCCCTGCATGAACGCTCGAAAGGAGCTTGCAAGCATTAGGAGGGAGCGACGCAAGAACCCAGGAAGAGCTTCGAAGGAGCTGCGGAAAAGCTTCCAACACGCGTATGGGGGAAGAGTCGGGAAACACGCTTCCAGAGCACGCTGCAAGCTCAAGAAAGTCGCTGCGAGGATGCCTGGCCGGGAGTTGTGGAGAGGACGCTGGCGTAGCCCTGCATGTCGGCTTCTTCTCGAGCAACCCTTTTCCACCCCCCCTTCACAAACAAAAGCCAAAGACCGCACAACCACGAACTGTGGAGCTCCGCGCGGATCTCCTGCATCGGCGCCTGGGACCCCTTGGCGGCGCCTCCTGCGCCACTCCTGGCGCGCTCCGCGCGCCAAGAGGTCTGGAGTCCCCCCACGTTTGGGCTCCGGCCCGGCCCTGCGAAAGGATCCCCGCCATTTTGGGCTCCGGCCCGGCTGGAGTGCCCTCTGCGGCGCACTGGCCCCTGGCCCACGTTGGCGGCGCGCGCAAGGGGGTCTGGGGGGGAGGGGAGAAGGCTTCTGAGAGGGAGGCTGCTTCTCAGCGGG